GGACAAAATAAAGGGGAGCAGCGGAGGCCGGGGGTGAAGGCCCTCGAGGGCAGTGCAGGGGCCCCATTTCTGGGCATCCCCCTTGAGGAGGGGGACGGCTGAACCAGGGCAGCCGCTCCCCGGGACGCATCACTCACTCGAAATCATATTTGACAAAGTTAACTGCATCGGGAGGGTGATAGCCACAGCTCCCCACATGTTCATGTAACATCTGACCAGGCCCACGGCTCTGGCCCTGGCACCCACACCCTGAACTCCTGGGGCTCCACATACACAATCTTTCATTTGGCCTTCAGAGCCCTTCACTCCTTTTCCTGTCCATACCCTGGGATCCAGCTTTTGTCACTGATGGTGAGTCGTTTTTCAGTTTTGTCCAACTTTTCGTGACCCCACTTGGGGTTTTCTTGGCAAGGACACTGCAGTGGTTTGCCATTTCCTTCTCCAGCTCATTTTACAGATGAAGAAACTGAGGCAAACAGGGTGAAGTGACATGCCCAGGGTCACCCAGCCCTTAGGAAGTGTCTTGAGTTTTCCTGACTCCAGGCCCGGCACTCTGTGTACTCTGGTGTCCCCTAGCGACCCCTAGTGCTCCAGCTACACTGGCCCTTGCTGTTTCTTACCTGGAATACTCCATCTCCCACCTCTGGGCCTTTGCCCTGGCTGCCCCCCTTGCCTTCTGCAGAAGGCCTTTCCTCACCCCCCAGCTATTCCTTTCCCTCTTTTTCAGATTATCTTTCATGTCCATCTGACAGTGATCCCTGGGAGGGCAGAGCCTGTAAGTGGGTCTTTGAATTCCCAGCCTGAGCCCTCAATAAATGCTGGGTGCCTGACTGTGCTGGTAGCCAGGCCACAAGGGTTGTCCCTGAGATTTCTGGGAGCAGGGGAAAGACCAGCCTTAGGAAGAGAGAGGGACACTCATTGAGAAGCCAGTGCTGAGGGGTCAAGTCAGAAATTGGTAACAGATTAGAAGAATGTTTATTTCCAAACGGGGTGTGTGTGTGTGTGTACTGTTGTACACAGGAAACAGATACTGTAGGAACTGTAAAAAGGATGAGATTGATTAAATATTTTAAAAACATTTTTATTAAGACCAATCTGACAAAATGCTTCATTATTTTTTAAAAATCACTGTGTATTTCCTGGAGGACAGGGCAGACCTGTAAAAAATAATGGTTAGTAATTAATTATTCAGTGACTTGGACCAGTGTATCTAGACAAGTAGGTCAGTTTCCATACTGAAAGACACTCCCACCCAAAAGTAAAAAGGGAAGTGGCTCTGGCCTCTTGGGGGACTTTCGGGGAGCCTGAAGGGAAGATCCCAGTGGCCCCCACGGGGAGTGGGGAGGCACCGCAGCTGGGGCCTTCAGGAGGGGGCAGGGACAGGACACTCTCTGAGCCCTGCCCAAAGATGTGCTGCTTGGTGGAGGGAGGTACGTCCAACTTCAGCCCAGGGGATCCCACACCCTGCCAGGGGTCCCAGCGCACGCCACACTTGGAATCCACTGCTCTAGCAATCAGAAACAGCTGAGTCCTATCAAATGGGCTCAAAGACCCTCTTTAACTTAGAAGATTTCTAAATACCAGTGGATTTGTAGCTGGACTCTCTGGCAGTGACCTGCCACTCAGGAGCACCTGTGAGGGTGAGCCAGGGTTAGGAACTGACCTGGAAGGGAAGGGAAGGGAAGGGGATCCAGGGTGGGTGAAGGCCCCTCATGGAACCGAGTCCCAGGGGCCAAGGCTTCAGGAAAGCCAAACAAAGCAGGCTGGAGACGTGATGATCGGAAAGCACGCATGCTGTGCGCGCATGCGCGCGCGCACACACACACACACACACACACACACACACACACACAAACACATACACAGCCTCAGCCTGTTGACAGGCTCCCTACAAGCCCCTGACCGACCAGGCTCACAGTGACACACACAGTATTTCAACAGGAGGAGACTACATTTCAGTGTACAACCTGGAAGGGGGGGGGGAACATCCCCGAAGAGCTCAGCCTTCCTTCTCCTTCTGAGAACTTCAGCAGAGTTGCTAGATCTCTGCATAGATCAGCAGTTAGACAGGTCACTTAGAACATTCAGATGTTCTAGGGCTTTGGGAATATTAGAGTCCCGCCATACCCGAGGGCCTCGTTCCCAACACAGAGGTCCCTATTTTTTCCCCAGGGTGGTGTGAACAGATCTCCACCCCTCTCAGGAAGGTGCCGAGAGTCTTCACTTCTCCAGGATCCATCCACATCCTGTACAAGGACCACACACGGACCCAGACCTTGCTCCTCCTGGCCTCAGTCGCTTGAAATCTTTTCTCAATGGCCTCTTGTCCCTTCTCCCCTCAGACTGTGTGGAGAAATGGTGTACCGATCACTTCCTCAGCTCCTCAGCACTCCGGACGGCGGACAGCATCAGAGATGAGCTCTTGGACATTGTCAGGCGGATTGAGCTCCCCTACACAGAACCGGCTTTTGGCTCAGAGGAAAATACCCTGAACATAAAGAAAGCTCTGGTAGCTGGTTACTTTATGCAAGTAAGAACCCACAACAGGCTTCATTTTAGTGGCGCTGATATCAAAGAGAAAATAAGCCGTTTGTAAAGATTCCCGTTGGGTCCCAGGGCTGCACTGATTCTACCAATGGTCTGAAGGGAAGGAAAAGAGTTATCACTGTATCAACAAATAGGTGCATAACCTTATTTTTACAAACTTTTTAAAACCCCAGTCAGTACCTGAGCTGGGATACATCAGCTAAGCCCCTCTGGGACAGACTCCGCCGTCTCCCCTGGGGGCTCTGGGGACCCGCGAGCCTTCCTGGCTCAGGGCCGGCACTCTGTCCACTGCATCCTCTAGCTGCCTCGTAAGCAGAGGAGTGACATTGCCAGAGCTGTGCTTGAGGATTCTCAGGTAGAATGTAGTGGAGACGAGGAGATGAATTAGAGGTGAGGCGATGACGGCCCAAACCCATGTGAGGAGACACATGCAAGAGACTGTGGAGGCAGAAAGACAAGCCCCGGCACATGGACGGGAAGAGGGAATAAGGGAGAGCGACTCAGGTTGTGAGCCCGTGAAGATGGATGGCAGGGAGAAAGCAGGGTGAAGGAACGAGTTCTGTTTGGACATGTTGAGCCTGCGACGTCCACTGATGGCGTGGGCAGGATGACTTATCAGGGCTGTCCTGAGCTTGAGGACTGCAGCTCACTTCTCCTGCTGCCGTTCATTATCTCATGACGCTGGGGGTGGGGTCCGTAAAACTGGAGTTTTGGATGGTGTGCTTTGGAAATGCGTAAAAATTAATTCTGCATCATTCTCTGATGTACTCTGCCCCTCCACACCCCCTAGATCGCTCGTGATGTGGATGGATCAGGGAACTACCTGATGTTAACCCACAAGCAGGTGGCTCAGCTGCACCCCCATTCGTGCTACTACGACATGAAGAAGATACCAGAGTGGGTGGTCTTCCACACGTTCAGCATATCTGAGAACAACTACATCAAAATCATCTCTGAAATCTCCCCGGAGCTGTAAGTGGGGGCTGGGGGAGGGGTCCCCTCACAATCCATGCTCCTTCTGGGGCCTCCTCAGAGCAGAAAGTGGGTCACGGGAGCATACCCTGCCTCTCTGGCCCAGGGTGGTGAGCCCCATCCCCTAAGGGGGTGCTAACCCTAAGCCAGCCTCCAGTTCTACGTGACAGCTGTTGTGACAGACACCGCTGAGGCTGGATAGAAATGACCGTGCACCTTTAACCAGTTAAAAGGGGAAAGCAAGCTGCTGGAAGGCCTCAGAAACCTAGCTCTCCTTCTAATCTCAAGTGGAAGGAAGATGGCTGAAATGTAGATGCTAAAGTTTGTTTTTAAAGTCTTTGCTAGAATTTTCTCCTGGAAAATTCCCTGATGTTTAATATCAGACAGCCAATCAATTATTAATGTGACGCTTTATTAATAATTAATGTAATGTTCAGGATAAAAGCTTATTTTGAACATTTTTGTTCAAAAACAGCCCACTGTAACAACAAAATGCACAAGCAATCTAAGAAAATAGAAATATTTTATTGAACATGGCTCCCCCTGCAGGACATGGGACATTTCCATGTTGCAACTGCCATATGAAATGGCTACTTTCCAAGGTTATCCCTCATAGTTTCTGAATTAAGTCACTATCCTACTAAAGCAGGGCTTCTTTACCAGGGTATGAACATGATTTCTTTAACAAAAATAATTTTTTTTTGATAAAAACTTCAGTATCATTGGTTTCCTCTGTAACCGTATGTATTTTAATTTATGCATTTTAAAGCCTTCCAAGAAGAGTGCCTGAAAAGGTTAAGACCCTCCTCCCACAACCAGACAGGAATAAGGGTTCCTGACGTGGCAGCTTTTAGATGCTGCACTGTCATGAGCCACACCACTGACTGTTCCCTAAGAAAGCTGCAAAGATAAACTGAGCGCACCTCTTCTCATGGCGCATCTGCCAGAAGTCCTCCAGTTCATCCCTGCCAAAGGCCCATTAAGGAAAGGCCTTGTCCTGCTCTTTCCCAGGATGCTCATGAAGGAGCATGTCCATTTCCCCTCCCTGCTTGAGGCCCCTGACGCCCGCCCACTGCTAAGCAGGCAACTCGGCCCATAGATTGGTCCAGGAGTTCCGACTCCAGACCCATTATATAGAGCTCCATAGAGGTTTGGTATTTATCACTTACAAAGGATCTCGGAGTTTGAATAAATGATTGCAGCTTCAACTTTCCTTTAAATAGCTGTATTCTGTTCTCTGCTCCAACAGATTCATGCAGTTGGCCCCACCGTATTACTTCAGTAATCTGCCTCCTAGTGAAAGTAAGGATATTCTGCAGCAAGTAATCAATCACTTATCAGCCATGTCGACAATGAAAAAGGAACAGAAGACAAGCAAAGATAAACTATGCGAAGAGTGCCCCGAAGCTTCTGCCGAACCAAGATGCGTTATTCAATGATTCTGAACCTTAATTCCATTCAGTACACACTGAAACAGTATGTGCAATAAACAGCCCAAAGTTAATCATTGTAATGGTTTGTCAACGTGAAAGATGTACAGAGATTGAACAGGAGGCAAGACAAATTGCCCAGCCAAGATAATTTTGTACAAATAACACATTCTGTACATCATTAAAGCAACCACAATACACAGTTGCTGCTCAGTTTTTAAAATTCCTAACCCATGTGTTCGGTTTTCTTTTGAAGTAATGGGCTTTTAATGAATGATTCATAAGTCCAAGGTACATTTGACCAAAATGAAAAAATTAAAAAACCTATTAAGGCCACGGTGACTGAGCCATCCGTTATATATGGCATTACACACACCAGGAGTTGTTTTCAAAAACCATTACATCTCCAATGAGTTTATCAGAAAGCCTTGTGCAAACAAGCCACTCGCTGTCCACAGAAAGTAGGTTAGATGGATAGGTACTCCTTCAGTGTCTCCATGACCGCACTCATCTTGCTCGCTGGAATGACCATCACCGTCCGCAGGGGCTTCATGGGCAAGTCATCAAAAGACCACCTGCCTCCCAAAGCCAGGTCACTCTCCTCCTGCACCGAGTAGCTGAATTTGAGGAGCGCTTTCTAAAGCAGAAGAAAGGAATTCAAATTAACACTGACTCCTCCACAACCCAGAAGGGCTGGGGCCTAGCCTGCAGTGGCCAGGATTCTAAAGGAACCGCAGGCTGCCGACAGAGCCTCATAACGCTCCCACGCTGGAGAGAACCAGGAAGGGCAGAGCCATGTCATCACTTTTTCCCCTCCACTTCACAGTATTTTATTTTTTTCAATTACATGTGAAGACAGTTCTCAACATTCACTTTATTTAGATTTGGAGTTCCAAAATTTTTTTTTCTCCCTCTCCAAGACAGCATGTAATCTGATATAGGCCATCATGGTAAACATATCTCCACATTGGTCATGTTGTGAAAGAATCAGAGCAGAAGGGGGAAAACCATGAGAAAGAAAAAAGAGAGAAAATAGTACGCTTCAATCTGCATTCAGACTCAGTGGTTCTTTCTCTGCATTTTCCCTCACGATTCTTTTGAAATTGTCTTAGATCATGACGGCACCACTTTTTAAATGACCTCATTTTGAATGCAATCTCCTTGGACCCTCGAGCACTGAGGTTTAACAGGACCCAGACTTGGCACCCAGGCTCTGAACTACTGAGTCCTGGCTCTGCTCTAAGCCTCGAGAAGGTCACTGAACCTTGGCCTCAGTTTCTCAAACTTGTGAAATGGGTATAAAAATAACCCCTAGCCCACAGGATTGTTGTGAGAATCATGAGGTCATGTTAATTTTCAACCTACAAATCCTAGCTATTATCATACATTATATATAATATATGTTGTTATAACATTCGCTCTCTAAAAGTGACAGTGAGTGAGACTCTATTAGAGCCTAACAGTACAAGGAACAAGAGACTTAGAAAATTCAGGAAGACCTCGAGAAGAAAATCATTTATCCGGGGGCAGCTAGGTGGTACAGTGGATAGAGCACCAGCCCTGGAGTCAGAAGGACCTGAGTTCAAATCTGGCCTCAGACACTTACTAGCTGTGTGACCCTGGGCAAGTCACTTAACCCCAACTGCCCTTTAAAAAAAAGGCATTTATCCTTTCTCTGTCTCAGTTTCCTCATCTGTAAGACAAGGGGATTGGCCATGAAGATCTCTTTAAGTCTCTTCCAGCTCATTATTTATGGTCATATGCAAGCTCTTAAAACATCTTTACTCAACAGAATAGGTTGCCACCGTTGAGCATCCTAGGTCAATGGTGAAAACACATATCTCCCATTTCTTTCTTTCTTTTTTTTTTTTTTTTGGTTAGGCAGTGGGGTTAAGTGACTTGCCCAGGGTCACACAGCTAATGAGTGTCAAGTGTCTGAGGCTGGATTTGAACTCATGTCCTCCTGACTCCCGGGCAGTGCTCTATCCACTGCGCCACCTAGCTGCCTCAAAATCTCCCATTTCTCAAGAGGACAAATGAGCCCAAGTTCAAAAGCCTAGCCTTTTGGGGGGCCCTTCAATTTTTTCATTTGGACAAGTGACGGAGTAAGATTCTCCTGGCTAGGAAAAGTAGCCCCCGGCTTCAGAAATTAATTCCCTAGTGTGACTTTGGTCAGTGATGTGAAGACTGACATTAATGACCCCACCATCAGAAAGGTGAAGGCTCTGGGATACGGCAGCCCACCTCCAACCAATAAAAGGAGTCAAACTCCATCCATCAAACAACAACCACAAAAGCCTATTAAAAAAAGTCATTATAAAAGAGTCGGCAAATATCAGAGGAGGGACCAGCGCAATGACTCCATTCGTGGAGGGACCTTGCTTCCAGGAGGAAACGCCCACAATGGATGCCAGCTGGACTGGCTGGAAATTACAAAAAATGGCAGGGGATGGAGAGGTGAAGTGGCCAGCTGGACCTCCTCAAGAGCAGAGGCAGGTCAGAGCAGGAGTGGCCAGGCAGAGCCTCCTGATCAATGTGTGTGGCCTCTAATTCAGTCCTTTCTCACCCCGTGTGGCCTCTCAAAGCACTTCCTTCTACCGAACTTTTTAAATAGGTCAGAAATAAAAAGGGGGTGGAGAACTCAGTCTTACCTCATAGAAAAACTCCTCCTCTGCGTTGGCAAACATCAGTTCTTCTTTCTGTGGCGCGTTCCCTTTGTTTCTGGAATTCCTCGAGGCCTCCTGGAACGTCTTACTGATCATAAGGTAATAGTAGCACTTGCCACACGGCTGATTGGCCTGGCGCGACTCCGCAAGCTCCTTCCTATAAAGCGAGGGACACACAGGGCCCATCAAAGCCTGTCACAACAGAAAGAAAACCACCCTTCACACCCTCTCTGCCTGCTGACGTGCCGGACAAAGATCAGATCTGCGTCCATGCAGCCAAGGAGAACCACCCCACATGAGCCCCCTGGCATCAAGACTGAGCCCCCTCTGGGCAGGTGGTTCCTGGGACTGCAAGTCTAAAAACACTCCCAACTTGAGGAGGTTCCTTTAGGAGATTTAGGAGCTGGACACCCCGGCATCTGCACTGCCCTCGAGCAGCAAGGTTTCAATGAATCAAAATAAGTATTGGAAGGAAAAAAGCTGTGGCTGGATGCCATTCTTCTCTTTTTTCTAGGTAACAATGCAGTAGGGAAGGAAATAAGCATTGATTAGACACCTACTAGGTACCAGCACTGTACTAAGGACTTCACAAATATCATCCCATCTGATCTTCACAACAACCCTTAAGTGCTGTTATTATCCCCATTTTACAACGGAGGAAAAGTGAGGTACGCAGGGTCACCCAGCACTGAAGTGTCCATGGCAGGATTGAAACCTGGGTCAGCCTGACTCCAGGCCTAGTGCTCTGTGCCCTGTGGCCTACCCTAGCCGCTGCCAAGACCTGGCCATAAGTGCTAGACAAAGACCCACTCCTTATTTATTCCTGCTGGAACCACGGGTCATATACACTTCCCACTGAAAACACCTCTCATCCCCTGGGCTGTAACTCAGAGACCCAACGAGCCAGGAGAGGCCCAGCCACAGCTGACCAGACGAGACAAGGGAGGGGACAACCAGCAAAACCGGGGCGATGAGGACGGACGGGGAGAGGCTCCCCAGAGGGAAATCCTATGCCCACAAAAACAAATCAGCAGAGGGGCTGCCTTCTCCTTAGTGACCATCACTCTGAAAAGACACCTTCCTCCTACCCCACACAGCCTACAAATACATTTGGAGCTATGCGACAAGACCTCAAACAAGTAATATTTAATTACAGATATCTCTCTAATACCTTCCGTTATCTTAATTTTTATTTATTTTTTTTTCACATCAAGCACTCCACAGGATTTTACTGTTCGTGTTTGTGTCTTAGTTTTTAAAAGCTTCATTGCTCTTCTTTATACAACTGAAACCCTGTACTTAGTTGATGCATGTCAAAATAAAATTCTTCCATGGAAAAACCCAGCCCTCTTAGTGCAACAATTCAAAGACATCATTTCTGATTTATGTGGAGAGGAGTCATTATCAATTTAATGGAGTAAGAAACAGTAACTGAACCAACAATTTAAATCCTTTCAAAGAGCATTCTCTTAAGCTGCCTAAGTAGTGAGTTACTCTCCCAGTAAAGGCCAGCCAGCCAGGAGATGAATACGACTACCTGCACTCCACCAAGCTGAAACTCAATCTATGGCAGCCTCCCCCCTCTCTCTCCACACCAACACACTGCCATTTAGATCACATTTCTGAAACTACTTGGAAAAAAAATTAGTGTTTTCAGTCATTTTGAGAAAGTCTCTTACTGGAGCTGCTGGTGCATGGGCAGAGCGATCTGGGGTGGGACGTTGAGGAATCTTTCACTTAGCAGGAGGCCCACAGGCTTAGTGGGATCACTGAAGAGCTTATGCAGCTGTTCAACCATATCCTTCTCACAGAGGCTCAGAATCAACTCTTAATTTGTTCAGCACATTCGGTGCCCTGGAAATCAAAAAGAAGGCGTCCCTGATGTTAGAGACCGGCCATTTACCTGAGTAAACTTGACAGTCAGCTCTAACTCATTACTCTGAGGAATCTGGGCCAAGTTCCTGCTTGGGGCTCCACTGGAGATTATTTACCAAATCCCCAACGTAACCATTGCTAGCTATTTGCCAACCGTGTGATCAGTGATAAGAGGCTTCTGAATTACCACTACAGCCCACCTTACAAAAAGAGACTGAAAGGTGCACACAGCTAAAGGGAAAAACAACCCACATCTGATGAGAGAAAGCAGGGAGATGAAGCTTCATGAGAAACAGTTCAGGCAATGGAAGAGGGACCAAAAACCCACCTTCTCTGGCCGGGAACACTCTGCCTCCTCATCTCCACCTGCTAGCTCCCCAACAAAAAGCCCCTCTTCTTTCCCAATTATCTCCTCTTTGTCCTCTAACCATTTGCTTTGAACATATGCTTGCATATGTATATGTGTGTGTATGTATGTATGTTCTTCCCTAACACACACACACACAAACACACACACACACGTTCTCCTATTAGACTGTGAGCTCCTGGAGGGCAGGGCCTATCGTTTGCCTTTTTTTGTATCCCCAGTGCTTTGTACATAGTAGGTGCTTAATAAATGTCTACTGACTGAAGAAACACACAATGAAACATCACCAATAAGCTCACTAGCTTCAAGGGGAGACCTCCCAAATCACGAATATCAGCATTCAGACTGATCAGGGAGCCCCTACCATCAGAGCTCAAGAGCAGACACGTAGCCCAGAACAGGCCAATGTTCAACATGAGAACCCAACCACTTTAAGAAGCATCCTCACTGTACCATGCAGAAAAAAATTCCAATTTCTGCTGAATCCAGGTAATCAAGAACTTTCTTAATGAAAAAGTGTTTTCAGAAGGAATCATAAGACCAGACACTAGCGGAATCAGCAATAATGCCTAACAGGAAAGGTACCACATCTTAAGAATATCCATTCAGGCGTGACACTGTAGAGCTGACCTTTCTTTCTGTTAAATTCAAGAGGCTTATGAAACCAAAAATCTCCTCTTCTTCACCATCCTCTTCATCACTTTCTTCTGGAACATCTGTTTGCTATTTTAAAATGAGAGGTGTTTTAGATTTGGGTTCAGAAGAATGAAAACATGCATGGGGCAGTTAGGGTTACTACCGATGTGTCTTCACTTAGACATTTCCCCTGAGTTTTCCAAATCATGTGATTTTTGAGCTGAAAGGGGCCCTGCTCCCAAGACCAAAGCCAAAAAAGTTCAATGACCTGATCAGTGTTGCCCAGACCTACCCCCAGGGCTCCCTGACTACAGGTCTGTCTCTTCCATTTCTAAGAGGAAAATGGGCTGATTCTAATTGGTACTAAAACTGGCTGACTCCACTTAACCTTTGGCCTACTCATTTACTTTCTGTTATCTGAAATGAAAGGAAGAAAAGCTTCATAGACATTAACCCCCATTATGCACTTCATGCACCACTGGCGGGGCGTCCAGGACAAAGAGCTCCAGGGCGTCTCTGCTCCCACAAAAAGTAAAGATTTGGGGTACAAGTGGCATTTCAATAAAGCAATAGATTCCAATAAATTGTTAACTCTAGGGCACCACACAAGCTGTCACTATCTCTCAGGGTTGCAGTCTCCTCACCGGCAAGATGAGAGTGTGAGGTTACGAGACCTTCCAGCTATGCCTTTGATATGACTTTTTTGTACACAAAGACTAAGTTCTCATTCTGGTGAGCTTCCCTCTTGCCCAGATTCTCATTATATAAAACACTGGGGAAGGACAAAAGGCAGAGAGGAACCAGGCTGACCCTGCTAGGACGGTCTCAAGGGCCACATAATATCCAGGACACTCTCCAGGTACCCAGCACAAAAATGTCATAGAAGCCAAGCTCTGAAAGTAGCCCAGGTGAAAGGTCACCCATCCCTAAGCAAGGCTGGGGGCCTTGTAAGTAGAGAGATGGAGAGAGGTGGTGGAGGGGGAATTAATAAGACCTGGCAACTAACTGGACTCACGGCAAGTGGGAGAAGGGCGGTTTGAGAACGATTCCAAAGTCATGGACGTGGGGACTGGACTATTGTGGCTTTATGGAAAGAAACCAGGAAGACAGGAAGAGGGGTGGCTTTCAGGGGACCCAGCAAAGTTGGGATGCCCCTGAGATATCCAGGTGGAAATGTGCAGCATGCGTCTGACATGGAACCAGAATGCTGGAGAAAAGTGAGGGCGAGACATGTACAGGGGACACTGAAACAAGGGACTGTGACATAAGGGAGGGACAACTTTATGGAAGGAGGAAAATAGAAAATAATTTTGGGGAAGAAAAAAAGTGAAGAACCTGGCCCTGATGCAGGGCCAGCTGCTAGGAACCATCTCCCCTCTTGGCTGCTGCCTTTCAAATCTCGTGAAGTTCTGACTTCTGGGAATATTTGCACAGGATGCTTTCATAAAGAGCGATTAACTGAGAATCTGGAGTGCTCCTGGACTAGTCCTGGCTCTTTCTGGGCTTTGTTGGGAGGTGCGATTTGCCAGGAGGCGCGTCAGATGTCACCTTGAGAAACCTCTCTTCCTAGCCAGTTTCCCCAGCACTGGGAGATGCAGTTTCCCAAAGCACTAAGGACTTTCTCCTTTCTGCAGAAAAAAGGACCTGCCAAGTGTGACTGCTCTAGCCCCCTGTCTCCTCCTGAACCACTGGTCTGCATGAGGCCTGTGTCCCCCCACCCTTGTGACCTGCCTTTGGGCCCCACAGCCCCCTCTGCTCTAACACTAACAGCTGACATACACTTTGCACAACCACACGTGAGGAGAGCTGAGTGCAGACATCAGAGTCTGTCTGCAAAGAGCTTCCTCTGCAGGAAGCCCCAGAGCGGGTCCCTCCTCACTTCCTTCCAAGCAGACCCTTGGTCCATACTGCATTCTCTTGGGGTCCCTGGGGCATCTTCTGGGACACCGCAGGGTGGCAGAGACCTTCCCTCCCTCCTCTGATCACCTCCGATGCGTTCATGCTTCCTGTGGTACAGACACTCCTCTGTCTGCACAGTGCATTCCCTCTGTCTCCTAATTCATGCTGTTTCGTATCATCTTAAGGAAGGGGTCAGACACCCACAGCAGCCACTGGGGACCCTCTACCACAACATCACAGGCGTGGTCCCAGCCAGAGCCAATACTCTGGCTCCCCTCTTCGCTCCCCCTGCCCTGGAACAGCTGGGCTAGAAGGGGGGGCTCTTCCACCACTTCCACTGCAAAGAGGCTGCAGCAGCTCCCGCCGTGCGTGGGATGCTCCAGGAGCGCCACAGCGGCACGTGCGTATCCTTGCCGTCACTGACCATCTGGCCGTTATTACACGATCACGTCCTCTTCTTCCCTCCATCCCATTCTCCGTTTTCTCTTTCCCAGGTCACCCCCTCCTCTTGGAACACAAAAGCATGAATTTCACGGGGGCTCAGAATGTAGCCAAAAGCACAATGGGCTAGATTTGAGAGGGGGAGAAACCAGCATGGACATTGGCTCTGGGCTGAGAGCTAGCAGAGACTGATTTGTGTCCTCAGTGCCTAGCACCATGCCCGGCACACAGTAGGTACTTAATACAGGCCTGCTGGTTGAGTGACCTTAGACAAGTCCCTAGACTTCAGTTTCCTAATCTGCAAAATAAGAAGGCTGACCTAGAAGTCTCTAAGGTCCCTTTCCAGTTCTATTATCCTATGTATTCCAAGGTCTTATCCAACCCTAAGATTTTATAAAGGCCTACTCAGTGGTTCTTTTTCTCCAAACAAAAAAAACAAGGCAGAGACAACGAAGTTTCTTTAACTTGACACTTTTCTTTTTGTGGGGAAGGGGAAGCCCATCACCTTTAGAAACACCCCAGTTTGTGTCGGTGACGCGCCTGGTGACCCTCCCTTTCCCAACACAAAGACAGACTCAGAACATGGAGTCCAGACGGAAGGAAAGCCTCTTTCTCACCTTAATGACGCTCCCAATGTAGTTCTGCTGAATTAAGAGATTGGTGAGCTCCACAATATTCACAGCAGCCTTCAGGAAAAGCTAAAAACAAATGGAAAAAAAATGTTCAATTGTAAGAGGCTGCAACAATTGAAACAAGGATTCATAAGAATAGGTCTAATTCTAACATTAGACTAATTCGATTAACAACTAAATTATCATTCGAAGAACCAAATTTGGCCAGTTATGGGGTCTGGCCTTTCTTACCTGTTGCAGTAATTTCTTTATTCCGTCAAAGTCATCACTCGAGATAGAATGAGCTTCAAATTCAACATTCACTTCCTACAAACGATACACAGAGGACCCGGTCACACAGCCGCCCCCGGGGCCTCCCAAGCGGAGGCTCAAGACCCAATCTCCCTTCCCCCGCACCTCCGACACCTCTTGGTTCTTAGACCCGCTGCTTCTGGCGATGAAGAAGGAAGTGACGGGGTGACAAAGGAATCCAACTAATGAGCGTCCCGCTACGGGGAAGGCATCACCCAGGGCTACGGTCAGGATCTCGCCCCCTCAGACCCTGCCAGCTCCCAAGGCAGGCAGGCCTCCTGACCCACACGAGGGTGGCCCCAGAACGGAGCCCGGAGGGTCATTCCCAGCACTGTTCCTGAGCAGCAGGGCTCCAACCTCAGTGAACCACCGGGATGCTCCTGCGGGGACTGGGCACCAAGAGAGAAGCGCGTCCTCACGGGCTCCCTGGGGGTCATCCCTCCCAACACCGCCCCTGGGAGGGCTCCTCCGCCATCCCCCCGAGGACCGGCCACCGGCCCCGCCTCGACCCTTCTGTTCTGCGCTGTCTGCCACCACCCGCGACCGCCAACACGCACACAGGCGTGCTTACACACCGGCGCACAAACACGCGCGTGCACAACACAGGCATCCGTGCACACACGTGTGCGGAGACACATGCATGACATGCACAAATACGCATGTGTGTATCTGCGTGTCTGAACAGGCACACGTGTGCGCGCGATGCGCATGTACACGGGATCGTGTGCACGTGCTTACATACGCAAGCATGACCTGCACGTATGTACACACGCGTGCCTAGGCAGCCCACAACCTATGCACGTGCGTGCGCGCGCGCACACACACGCGGGGAGCAAGGCAGGCCCTGGCACGAAGGGGGACCCCGACCCCCGCAGAAGACCGGAGTGACCCGGGCTGGGGTTGGGGGACAGACGGCAGGAGCTCAATAATGGCCACTGCCAGCGGGGGTGGGGGGTAGATAAGCCAAGTCTCTCCCCCTGCCTGTGCCTCGGTTTCCCCACCTGTAAAATTAGGAAGAGCCACCCGGCACCGGAAGCCGCGGCTCCGAGGGACAGACCCCTCCCCCGCCCTGCGCGGTGGCGTCACCGAGCGCCTGCCGTAGGCCCCCCTCCCCCACCTGGTTGACAAGCTCGTCTTCTTCGTCCTCCTCGTCACTGCCACTGCTCTCGTCGCCGCTCTCGTCGGTGTCCTCCGCCGTCTCCTCGCGCTCCTCGTCGGCCCCAGCTCCCGGAGGCCGCGGGTGCCGACTGCCCAGGGCGCGCTTCTTGGCCTGGGACGCCATGCTGCCCCGCTCCCACTGCGCCTGCGCAGCTGCTTCCGGGTTGGGGCTTCCGGGCCGGCTCATGCGCGTGGGGGGGAGGCTGCTGGAGTAAGGGTGGAGGAGGGCCGAGTGTAGGCCGCTTTGGAGCCGCTAAGGTAGGGAGACCAGCCTCCGGGCCTGGTCTGGCTCGTTGGACATTAGCTGATTCTGTTGCGCCGCGTCGGTGGCCGCTCCGAGCCCGGCTCCCCCCATGTCCCGACGGTGGTTCGCCCCACCGGGGGGGGGAACCTTGGACCTGGCAGGAGGAGGGGCCAGCTTTGCGCGTGCGCCTACGGGCGTGCGCGTGTGCATGTGTGCGTATTGCTTAAGGCCTTCGCGCAGCTCCCTGGGTTTACTGGCAGGGAAACTGAGGTTGCTGCTGTACCCTGACGTCATGGTTCCGGGTCAGTGCCCCCGCCCCCCAGGGCTGTCCGCGGCTAGGAGTGCTTTCACAGGGCTGTACCTTCCATGGATCCCAAGCCCCACCCCCTCTGACAGAGAAGGAAACTGAGGCCCAGGGAGGGGAGGGATTGGCCCTGGGCTGCCTGGGAAGGGAGTTGTCAAAGGCAGAATTCGAACTCGGACCAGACTGTCTCCGACCTTTTTTTTGTACACCCCTGGAACCCTGCCTGAAAGGGCCCCAAGGTGTCACCTAGAAGCATGGGATCCAGGGTCAGTCAGGGGTCGCCTAGGACCATGCGATTCAGGGCTGTTCAGAGGTCACCTAGGACCAGGGGATCCAGGGTCAGTCAGGGGTCACCTAGGACCATGGGATCCAGAGTCAGTCAGGGGTCACTTAGGACCACAGGACCCGCAGCTGGTCAGGGGTCCCCAGGGCTGCAGAAAGTCCCCTCTGTCACTGTCCAGCTGAGGACCTCAGAATAATGCCAGCCCATCATGTTCACAGGAGCCCATGAAGTCTGGGAAGGCCTGTGCCGTCAGCCTCAGTGAGCCACGGGACCCCAGGAGGTAGGTGCCTGGATCCCCCCAGGCTCAGGGCCACACAGCCATCAGCATGTGGCGCAGGGCTCGAACCCAGGCCTTCTGACTCTCCCTTAGGCCCAGTTCTCTTTGTGGGTACTCCATCCCCCAGGGCTGATCTCCATCAGAGTGCTTTGTGCAAGCTCCTTGAGTGTCCCTCTGCCCCATTGTCCTCTCCCAGCCACCTCCCTGAGGGGCCCTGGCACCTCATACTTGCACAATTCAATTGTCAGAACCTTCAGCGCTGGCCTGGACTCTGGGAGGCCCAGGTGCGACGATGCTGGGCCAGCCACAGAACCTCTGCTTGCCTCAGTTTCTTCCTCTGTCAGACGGGGCCAGTCATAATGCCGACCTCGCTTTGCTGCCGGGAGGTTCAAATGGAATGGTGTCTGTGAAGTGCGTGGCCAGCCTCAGAGCAGGGAGAAGTGTGTGCTTTCTTTCATTAATGTGCTCCAGCCTCAGGCCTCTACCCAAGCACCAGATGAGGCTGCCCAGAGGGGAGGGCCTGATGAGCTCCTCCCTGGCCACACGGGCCTGCTCACCATCCCCGCCCTCTCTTGGCCACTGCACCGACTCCCTCCCTTCTGCGGTCCCCTCTCTGTCTCCGTTTTCAGGATTCAGGTCAGGTCGGCCAGCATTTATTAAGTGATTGCCCTGTGCCAAGTGCTGGCAATGCCACCGGCCACAGAAAGGAGCCTCCACCTTCCAGGGCCGCAGCAGCAGGGCCACGAGAAAGTTTTGTACAGAGACGTGAGAGCTGTGTTGTGGGGCTCACAGGAGCCAAGGTCAGAGCTAACGGAGGCTGTGGTCTTGGAGAGATGCACCTCCTCCTCCTAGGAGACTGAAGCCCTTGAGGAGGGATTAAGCCAAGGTGGAAGAGAGGAAAGCCAGCTGAGGAGGAGAGAGGCATTGGGAACTTGAGGAAAGAGGTGAAGGTTTGGGGTTTGGAGGCAGGAGATTCAGTGAGATGGTTAAAGAGATTGTGTGAGACAGACCAGGTCAGCAGGCTAATAACGATTCTCCTCAGGGGCCCAAACAGAGGAGTAGCCAGCACTGACAAAGGCAACGGGGCTGAGGTGTATTCGGACACTTTCAAAGCTCAGCTCGAGCCCCCTGACCTACCAGGGTCCTTTCTTGATCCCCCAGGCTAAGGGAAGGGGGGGGATGAGGAAGGGTAAATTAAAGGAGAGTTGAATCTTAAGTAAAACAGACTGTGAGAAGAGTTGATTTTGAAGAGAGGCTTAAAAGAAAAGAAAGAAATGATGAGAATTTGTTACAACAGAGCTGAAGGAGGTTCTAGACCTCTTAGAGCTCACTCACCCTTTTTATAAAGAGTAGAAAGAAAACAAATAGAAGGAAAAGTACAAGAGAATGGGATAAAGGGAATTTAGCAATTAATCATTAGTATGAATGGGATGCATTCACCCACAAAATGGAAGACAATTCCATAAAATGAAAGAATGGATTTGAAAGCAGAATCCAACAATATGTTGTTTACAAGAAACACTTGAAACAAAAAAACATAATTAAAATAAAGGGCTGGAAAAGACTGTATTTTGCTTCAGCTGAAGTATAGGCAAGTGTGGCCATCATGATCTCAGACAAAGCAATAGTAAAACTAGACTTTAAAAGAAAAACAGGGAATACACATACAAATACACACACACACACATACACACACACACACACACACACACACACACACACACACACACACACACACCCAAATGATACAACATCTCAATTCTTATAGGAAGAGTTAAATGTGTTATAGGAAGAAATAGTGAAACTACAATAGTGGGGGCTTCTGTTTACTCCCTCACACCTATATGAATCTAACCAAAAGAAGCAAAGAACCTAAATAGGATTTTAGAAGAATTTGATACGATAGCCCTCTAGGGGTTGTAAAATGGAAATAGAAAGGATTATACATATTTATCACCTGTATGTAGCGCCTTTACAAAAAAATGACTGTAATAGAGCATAAAAACCTCAAAAACATGCAGAAAAGCAAAAATATTAAATGTACCTGTTTTATAGACCACAATGCAATGCAAATTCAGTAAATATCCACTGAAGAAACAATTAAAAATTGTTTATTTAAATTGTTTATATAATTTATTGTTTCTATAAATAACTTAAACCTAAAGAATTGGCAATTCAAAGAACAAATAGAAACCGATCTTTAAAAATTACAACAATGAGAAGACATGACACAATTTTCAGGAGGCGGTCAGCCATCCTTGGAGGAAATTGTATGTCTCTAAACACTTTGGTAAAAAAGCCGATCAATAAATTGGGCAGTGCAGTTAAAAAACTCTAGAAAACCAACAGATTTTAAGATCTCCAAATAAACATAAAAATAGAAATTCTAAATATAAGAGATTAATAAAATTGAAAGCCAAAAAAATTAATAACACTAGCAGCTTTTGAAAAGGTTGATAGATCGTTAGAAGAGAAGAAAACCAAATTAGCCAGCATCAGAAGAGAGGAAGATAAATTCACAACCAATGGAGAAATAATAGGAACTTTTGCCCAATTTTATGTCAATAAAACTAAATGAAATGAATTAATATATTTGTAAAAATATAAAGTGCCCATATTAAAAGGACAAAAAAAAATAGAGGACTTACACTCAGGTTCAGAAAAAGAAATTGAACAAGCTATAAATGGACTCCCAAGGAAAAAAGTCCCAGATCAGATGGATTTGCAAGAAAAATCTGTCATATATTTAAGGAATGATTAATTTCATTATTACATAAACTCTTTGAAAAAATAAGGAGTCCTGCCAAATTCTTTCTATGATACAAATATGGTCTTGACACATAAACTCGGGAGTCAAAACAAGGAAAGAAAAACCATAGGCCAATATCCCCAATGAATACGAATTTTTTTTAAAAGCATCTTCAATCAGTTATTTGCAAGAAAAGTAAAGAAACGTATCAAAAGATTGTACACTATTAACAGATTGGAATTTTACTAGGAATAAAGGGCTAGATAAATATATTAGGAAAACAGTAAACATAATTGACAATGTTAATAATTACAAAAATTATTTTATCAATAGATGCAGAAAAAACATTTGACAAGGTAAAACACCCATTCCTGTTACAAACACTAAAAGCATAGGAATAAATGGATCTTTCCTTAATGTAAATATTATCTATCTAAAACCAAGAGCCGGCATTATCTGTAAAGGAGTTAAACTGAAGATCTTTCTGGTAAGATCGTGGCTAAAGCAAGGATGTCCATTATTTCCATTACTATTCATTGTAATGCTAGCAATACTAGTTAAAGCAATGTTGTTGTTATGGAGTCATTTCAGTCGTGTCCAACTTTCTGTGACCCCATTTGGGATTTTCTTGACAGAGATACTGGAGTGGTTTGCCATTTCCTTCTCCAGCTCATTTTACAGATGAGGAAACTGAGGCAAACAGGGTGAAGTGACTTGCCCAGAGTCACACAGCTAGGAAGTGTCTGAGGCCAGATTTGAACTCAGTCTTCCTGACTCCAGGCCAAGCATTCTGTCCACTGTGCCACTTAGCTGCCAGTTGAAACAGTAAGATGAGAAAAATAAAGTGAGGGAATAAGCATAGACAAGTAAGAAATAAAATTATCACTTTTTGCAAATAATATGACAGTTTACTTAGCAAACTCCAGAGGGTCAACTAAAAAACTAATTGAAACAACTTCAGCAAAATTGCATATAAAAATAAGCCGAAACAAGTCATTGGCATTTCTGCATGTTACCAACAAATTACAGCAGGCAGAGAAAGAAGACGCATTTAAAACTGCAACAGAAAATAGAATAAAATATCTAAGATTATAACTGATAAGACGCTTTGAACTGAGCACAACAACAAAACACTTTACACAAATAAAGACTTAGGATCTAAATAACTGAAGAAATGTTACTTGCTCGTGGGTGAGCCTAGCCAGCATCATAAAAATGATAATACTACCTAAATTAATTTATAGAGCTACAAAAAGTACTAACAGCATTCATCTGGAAGAATAAAAAGTCAAGCATCTCAAGGGAAATAATGGAGAGAGGGTGGTGAAGTGGGAAGGAAGGGATCCTAGGAGTACAGTATCTCAAACTACACTTCAAAGCAGTAATGATCAAACAATCTGGTACTGCTTAAGAAATAGAAAGGTTGATCAGATTGTGTCCAGTACATAGAATCAAACAACCAGAGTAGTGTACTGTTTGATAAACCAAAGATCCCATCCCATGACCATCTGGAAAAACTTGGAAAAATAGTTAGGCAGAAACTGGGTATAGACCAATAGTGACTCACCCCATATACCAAGATGAGCTCCAGATGGGGACATGGTTACGCCATGCTCTAACAGACAAGTTAGGAGAGCAAGGAAATTACTCATCAGATCTATGGATAGGGGAAACATTTGCAAGGAAACGAGTTAGATTCACAGGAGGTAAAATGGACAAAATTGATTACATAAAACTGAAAGGTTTTTGAACAAAATTAATGCAGCTGAAGTTAGAAGAGAAGCAGGTAAATGGATGCCTTTGCCACAAGTTTCTCCTTTCAAAGTATATAGGAAGTGGATTCAAATTTGTGAGATTAAGAGCCATTCCCCAATTGACAAATGGTCAAAGGCTATGAAGAGGCAGTTTTCAGAGGAAGAAATGCAAGCTATCCCTATCCATAAGGAAAAATGCTCTACATTACCAGTAAGTAGAGAGATACGTGTCAGAGGTTTTGCCTCCCACCCATCAGGTTTGATAGAGCTGGCAACAAAGGATGTTGATGAAGCTGTAGAAAAACAGGTTCGTTGGTGCATTTTTAGAGCTATGAAGTGCTCCAGCTCTTCTGGAAAGCAATTTGGAACTCTCCCCCCAAAGCTCTTAAATTGGGCGTGTTGGGCGTGTCCTTTGACCCAGCAGCACCACTGCTAAGTGGTCACTGGGAGGTGCAGCTGAGACAGGAATGCTAGACAATGCCCCCGACTAGTGATGACCCAAAGTCTACTGAAAACCAATCTGGGGGAAGGACTGGAGAAGCCAGTCCGTGTGGCCAGCGTTGCAAAGCTTCAAAAGGAATGTCTGTGTATACACACAAGCAGATACACACACACTCAGAGATCAGAAGAGGAAGAGGGCCCATGTTTGCAAAAATGTTTATGGTCCCTTTTTTTGTTGGCAAAGATTGGGAGACTGAGGGGACGTCCATCGATTGGGGAATGGCTGAGCCAGGTAGGTGTCCGAGTGTTGTGCTGTAAGAAATGGTGCATGCATTGGTTTCAAAGAAACTCCCTACTTTGAGCTGTTGCAGAGCAAAGTCAAAAGAACCTGGAGAACGTTTTGTGGGGTACCGATATTGTGGAGACAAAAACCTTGAAAGACCCTAGGACCTCTTATCCATGCGTTGACCAGCAAGATTCCAGAAGTCTGTGAAGGAATACGCTCCCACTTCTGACAGAGCGATGGATTCAGAGCGCAGATGGAGACTTTTCATTTTAATCTCGGAGCAGGAATGTGTTTTGCTTGACTCTGTGTTTGTAGGGGGTGAGGAGGAGCAGCAGGTGGGAGGGAGAGAAGGCAGATTTTCATTTGAAAAAACAATGCAAAACAAACCTGCCTCTAGGTTGTGTGACCCAAGGGCAGCTCCCTTCTCGGGAGAGGATACACTGCGGAGGAGGAGCAGCTGCCTAGAGTGAGTCTGTTTGTGTGTACGCATAGCAGCACTGGACCTACGGGTCTGCTTCTCCGGCCCTTCCCTCGTGTTGCTTTTCTGTAGACTTTGGGTCGTCACTGCGTGGGGATGTTGTCTCATCGGCACCTCCCAGTGACTTTGGAGGGGAGATGTGGCCAGTGGGGTGCTCTCCACTTGACCTTGGGGTTTGAGTGATGTAGTGACTGGCTCAGGGACATGTGGTCAGTGCGGTTTCAAGCACAGGAGCCTTCCTGACTCCAAGTCCAGTGTTCCACCCACCAGGCTTCCCTCTGGGGCTGTCTCCTAATTTGTAAAGGGGAGGGTTTAGAATTTTACTGAGGTCCCTTCCAGCTCTAAATTTGCGGTATTCTGATCCCGTTAACTTAGGTCAGCTCTGATGAAGTGTCCACTCCCTCAGACATCCTCAGTGAAGCCACACTTTGGCAAATGCGTCCGTCACTCATGACTTCCTGTCACCTGCAGGAGCAGGCGTAAAAGGCTCTGTTTGGGGTTCAGAGCCCTTCCTAGCTGAACCCCTCCTGCCTTTCCAGTCTCCTGACACCTTATTCCCCACCATGTTCTCTTTGACCCAGTGACCCTGGCCTCGGGGCTCTTCCACAAATAAGACCCTCCATCTCTGGACTCCAAACCCTCTCTTTGATTGTGCCCCATGGCTGCCCCCCCCCAGTCACATCCCCCTTCTACAGGAAGCCTTGTGCAGGCCCCTTCACTTGGTGTCTTCCCTCCGCTGTGTCCAGTCTGTGCCTTGTTGACCAGCTGTCTCCCCCTTCACGCTAAACACTCCTCAAGAGCACAGGGCGTGGCACGTTGTAAGCATTTAGTTAATGTTTGTTGGTTTGACTCCAGCCACAATAAGCTTTTTTTTTTCTTTTGGCAAGGAAGTTGGGGTTAAGTGACTCAACCAGGTTCACATAGCCAGTAAGTGTTGTCTCGGAGGCTAGATTTGAACACAGGTCCTCCTGACTCCAGGGCTGGTGCTCTATCCACTGCACCACCTAGCTTCCCCCCTAGTAAGCATTTCAACAAGCATTTATTAAGCTCCTGCTGCATGCTATACATTGCCTCTTGGTTTCCTTCCAGGGGAAGGAAGTTTCCTCACACTTGCCTCCCTGGGGGTGCGGTAGATGTGGCCCCACAGATGTCCTGCAGCTTCCCCCCATCCACTGCTTCCCACCCGTGCCTAGTGGCATTTGTCAGCAGCCCTGGGGCTGTACATCAGCTCGCCTTCCTTCTCACTAGCTGGCTGGCTCATTTCTTCCAATGATATCTTTTAGATGCAGGAGACATGCACTGAGAAGGGCTGGGTGGGGAGGGAGCCATCCTCAGAGTCAGGAAGGTGAGGCTGCAGTCCTCCCTCTCACACACCCCAGCTGCTGACCTGACCTCTCTTGGAGTATCTGCTTCAGAGCAGGTGCCAGCCTGGTTTGGGAGAGGGGGAGGTTCCTGTTCATGCTCAGGTCGCTGCTGGTGACAGCCTCCCGTGACTCCTTCACAAGCATGATCTTGGGGCAGCCTAGGGAGCTCCTGATGGTGTTTGTGGCCTGGCATCCCCAGGAGAACTGGGGTATTGACTGGGTGGCCTGGCTTCTTAGCAGGAAACAGTGGGAATTGTTGAAATGATAAACATTCATCTGACTTTGCACACTTTTTTACCTTAAGGTAAATTAAAACGAACCCAAAAATGAGCTAATGAGCTCTTAGCCATGGATCCAGTCACTGGCTGTTTGCTCACATGGATCTGACATGGTTTACCCGTGGGCTGCGTCAGGGATGAGGGGATTATGGCTTTGGCTTACTTCTTTTCTTGCAGATCAAGGAAAGCCTGAATTAGCAGGACAATATAGATTAAAAATGTGCTTTTATACACACAACACATTTGTGAAAGGACATCAGCTTTGCCTCGGAAAAGTGTGTTATTGAAGCAAAGTACTTTTTCTTTAAAAAAAAAAAGGCTCTCAGGATTCTGGCAGGAAGCCTCAGTAGTTGGTGCTAATGCGAAGATTTGTCTGCAGTGTTTTCCCTGCATTTTCCGTTAGAGATACCACTGGGGTATTAGGAAAAACAACCTAGCACATCAGTAAAGAGAAAGCTTATTTTGCACTAGGGGGTTGAGTTTTAAAAGATGTTTGATTCTATAAATAAAACCCTTTTCTATGTGAAGCCCCTTCTTTCACCTTGAAGAATGTCAGTTCAGCTATGACGATCAGCTAAAGGACCTAGAATCACAAGATTTAGTTCTGAAAGCAGTGTAGAGGTCATTTAATTGCTAACAATAGCGCGCGTAGTGTGTTAAGGTTTGCAAACTGCTTCATACATGCTACGGGGGAGGCCTTGTTATTATCCCCTTATTACACATGAGGAAACTGAGGCTGAGGGGTTAAGTGACTGAGCCAGGGTGTCCAGCTACATCTGGTCTAGGGCAGTATTTGGACACACATCTTCCTCACTCCATGCCCGCGCCATTGGCTCACTTCAAACTAAGTGCCGTCTGTGTGCAGTGATGCTCTTCCAGCATGTATAGAGCATCCCGTGAGTTCTCAACCACTCAGTTCAGTTGCTTTCTATTCCCAGAAGCCTAAGCAGACCCCCCCCCAATTATTTTGTATCCATTTTGTGTTTACTTATCTATGTTCCTGTTGTTTCTCCCGAAAAGGAGATAAACTCCTTGTGGGCAGGACTGTTCCATCTTTCCCAGTACCTGGCACAGTACTAACTTAAGTACTTGGTAAATAACAATTATCTGATCTAATCTGTGCATTTTTGTGTTTAATACATGAGGAAACCGAGTCCCAGAGAAGCTCAGGTGATTTGGCAAATGTCTTTCAGTGGTTTCGTGGCCCAGTCAAGCTGTAAGTGACCCACCATCCAGCACTCGGGACAGCGATCTGCTCTTCCTAACCATTGCAAGCAAACAAGCCAAGGACTTGACTTTGGTGAGTAAAGGAGGAAGAGGGGAGGAGGGATGAAGTGGGCTGCAGTGCAGAAGGCAGCGGAAGGGTCGGAGAGGATGAAAACGAGACAGAAACCAGACAAAACGAAGCACTTGAACGAGACGCCTGAAAACAGGCCTTTCTTGCTCAGCTTGGGCATTGAGAGGGGGCTGGAAAGGGAGTGGAGGCCGGACAGTGTGAGACACGGCTCAGTAGGGACACAGTCTGGTGCCAACAGACGATTTCAGTCTGAATTGGAGCTTTCAGCTGAAATGTGCCCTGGCTGTGTCATCCTAAAATTGGAGGGTTACTTGAGCATGCCCTGGATGAAATTCTGTTCAGACTGCAAATGCCAGGCTGTACATGCCACTCAATTACATCCCCATTTTCTTGGGGCATCAGGATTGTGAGAGGCTGTGCAGGTAGTTTCTGTTTGAGACACATTCTGAATAACTCCATGAAATTATTACATGATCCGCATCTCCCTGACGCACCCGTCTCTGTGTCTAACTGCTTTACGTGAAGGTAATTAGAACTTGGTTTCATAAGCATTTTTGGTTGGCTGAGGTTTTGTTGCTTAGATACGAGGAGCAGCTGTTCCATCGGGGTCAGGTTATTCACGAGGGGTCCTAGAAACACTGCCCTGTTGCCTGCTGAGCTGCCGCAGTGGGGAAGGAGTGGTAGGATTCCCGCTCAGGTCAGCTTTGCCGTCCTGTTGGTGAGGCAGTAACGGGTAGGGAAAGGAAGTGTTATCGATGCCCGGCAGCACTGTGGCTGCAGAGGGCGAGAGGGGCAGGGCCGTGACACTTGTGACATGTGACTCCCCTAGGCTCAGGAGCCGTCGTGGACCGTCTCTGGGCACAGTGGTAGATGGTCTGTACTGGGGCTCTTTCCTGCAGTGCTTCAGGTGTGTAGGGGACTTTTCCACAGCTGTGAATGTGCCTCAGTAAGGTGGGGGGCTCCCGTGGAAAGAGCCGTCCCTGTGGTCTGAACTGTGTGAGCCTTATCTGAGGTTGCCCACACGCTTCAGGTCAGCCTTATCAGTGATACAGCCACCCAGGGAAGGGCCCGAGCTGCTCCCTGCTTACTCACTGCCAGGAATGGTTAGGCACTTCCCCAGGTCCTCTGGTGAGCTGCTCCCTGCTTGGTGGCCTGATCTCATTAGGACCCATTTCCCTTCTTCCTCACAGCTTTTGTTAAGGGCCGGCTGGTAAAAAAAATGAAGATTCTGTTGCTAAAAGATCCTAAGGATGATCACTCAGGCCAGGACCCCTATGTTCAGGTAGGTGATGCAGACAGTTACACAGGACCCCTGGGCACCCATGCTCTCCTTCATTGCTCTTCCCTACCAGGCCTCAGATCGGGCTGGGGGAGGCAGCTTCACCTTCCAAAGTGGGGTGCTGGGGCCCTGCCTTTGTTTTTAAGACAGCCCTCGGGCCTTCAGTGTTGGTACATCTTTGTTCCCCCAGGAATTGGGGTCACATGGATTTGAAGCCACTTTGATACCTGTTTTATCCTTTGAGTTTTTGTCTCTGCAAAGCTTCTCTAAGAAGGTAAGGCCAAGTAATCTTCTCTGTCAGTGCTAGAGTGTGTCCTGCCAGGAAGGACTGCCTAGGGTGGGCAGATGACCAGCGAGGCTGGGACGGGCTTTTATCATATGTGAAGCAGTTGGGGCCTTGGCTGAAGAGAAGCTGGCAAATGGGCACACCCCATGGCGACTGTCACGTCGCACTCCCGTAGAATGCCAGCCTTCTCCCGCAAGTGGGGAAGAGGGCTCCATTCTAGCCGTCGCACCCCAGGGGGTCATTGCAGCTAATCTGGATTCAGACTTCTTCTGTGTTGGCTTCACTGCCAGTATTGTGGTCTTCCCAGACTTCTTGGGATTTCTCCTCTTCTTCATCTGTGGAGACAATTCATAGACCGTGATTTATTCAACCGTCCCCTAAGCACCGAGCATACTTTATCACCAGCTGTGTGCTACCACCAAAGTGCTGCTCTGCGTGTTCTGACCTCTGGGGTGTCCCAGAAGTTGTGGTGGGGTATCCTGGCCCTTTCAGCCCCTTTGTGGGGCCTTGTGGCCATAGAGTCACTTTACTCGCAGAATTCCAAATGAGAGGACATAGTTAAGTTACTGTGAAGGCCGAATGCACTCTGTAATTGCTAGCTATTGTCATTGGATTTGTGCGTGCATGTTCCCCATAGGATAAAGTGCCATGAGGGGCAGGATGGCTTGTCTGCTGTCATTTCAGCCCCAGAGCCTCGTACAGTGTCAGGCACACCATAGATGCTCGGTAAGTGCGTGCTGACTCGTCCGACCTTAATGAGGTGTCTTGTGTGTGGGCAGCTGTCTCATCCGGAGGCTTACGGGGGACTCATTTTCACCAGCCCCCGTGCCGTGGAAGCCGTGGAGCTGTGCCTGGAAAGGGACAATAAACTGGAAGGTGAGTGTGGGCTGGGGAGCTTTTGGTTGGCTCTTAACCTCATCTCACAGTGAAAACAGCCAAAAAGCCACATAATTCCCTGATCTCCTCGAGCTTATGGGACTGACCTGAGATGGTGAAAACGCCTCTTCTGACACCCTCTGTTTCCTGACTGCCTCCTTCCCCCTCAAGCAAGTGGGACCCAGCCTCACCACAGTAGGTCCTGAGCTTGGCTCCCCCCACCACCTGAACGCTTGCAAAGCTCTTTACAGACATACTGCCTTTGATCTCCACAACCACCCAAGGTACTATTCTTGTCCCCATTTTACAAATAGGGAAATTGAGGCAAACAGGGGATTAAGTGACTTGTCCAGGGTCCCACAGCTAGTAAGTGTCTGAGGCCGGCTTTGAACTCAGGTCTTCCTGACTCCAAAACCAGGCTTCTCTCTAGTCCTTGGGAAGTAGGTTATGCAGCCTCCAGGAGGCACCACCGGGGGGGAGAGTTGCTCTCAGCCAGCTATGGGGGAAGAGCATGTCTAGGTGAGCAGCTGGATTCACCTGTCAGGCTTGTTTTCCCGGCTGCATGGGGAATTCACTCCCCTCATGATACAGTGTTGGAATGGTGGGGGGGTGGGCACCCCTGGACTCTTCCCTTCTCACTAAGGTAGGTACAATCAGGTAACACCCTTGGATTATAAGACTGTCTTAGACCTGTTTGGAGTCTGAAATTCACCCGCTTGGAGATGACACAAAGACCTAGTTGGCTAAAGAAAAAGCTGGTACCCCTGGCTTTGTCTGTGGAAGGAGCCCTGGGCCTGGGCCTAGAGGACCTGGCTTTGCCCCTCTCTCCCATGGCTGAGCTCCTTTACGTCTCTGGGCCTCAGTTTCCCTCCTGTAAAGTCAAGGTCAAATTAGATGCTCTCTGAGGTCCCTGTTGGACCATGTTCTGTATCCCAGTAGTTCATGTGGGGGAGCTACCTCATCAGAGAAGCTGGATTCAGATCCTGGTTCTACCCTTTACTGGCCATGTGACCTGGGCCACTCACTGACTCTCTGAGCCTCGTGCTTGTCCTCAGTGAAGTGCAGGGTCTGCACTGGGAAAGCCCCTGCCAGCCCAGACGTTCTGTAATTTGTGAAAAGGCCCCCAGAATGAGATTTGAGGCTCCTTGACTGTTGCCCCAGAAATGTCCTCCTTTAAGACCAGGAGAGAAATCACCAAGGGGATTTCCCCAAACCCCCGAGATTTAGGTACGGAGCAGAGCTCGCCCCTGCTGGCCAAGGGTCCTGGGGAACCTATCGGGTTCAGAGTCACCTCCACGCACGTGCAGACGCACCTACTGGCAAAGGACAGTCAGCTGATAAAGTCCCTTGGCTGCCCGTGCCTTGTGCTTTTCCCAGGGTGCATTCCTAGTTGGCAAAGAGTGCGGGGTTCCCCCTCCTATGACCAGGGATGGCCGAGGTTCTCTCTAGAAATGAGCCAGCAGCTTCAGTCTTCAGAGGAGAAATGGGCTCCCAGGAAGACACCGGCACCCTTGGCTCTCCCAGTTTGGGCTCAGCCTCTTCAGGGCTCTTGGCCATGAAGGCCCACCGCCAAGGGCTGGCCAGTAACTCTGCATGTGTGCAGCTCACTTTCTCTTTGGGCTGTTTGCACAGTGCACAGAGGTGCTTCTAGACTTCCAGTGGTGTCGGGAGCAAGAACGTAATGCTTCTTTGCCCTTCATTTACAAAGAAGTCATTTGGAAACTGCTCCTGTCTGTCTCCAGAGCAAAATCAGCTGCGTTGTTTTATTGGCTGCATAAGCAGCATTTTACGATCCGGGGCTTTCCTTCTCTTCCTCTAAAGATCCCAGTTTTCAGTCATCACATCGCTATGCAAATTAGGATCCAACATTATATTTGTTTTCCAAGGACACATAAAAGCATAAAAAATGCTTTTAGTGCAGGCAGAAAAAACAGTTCATGTTTCAGGCAAAGCCCCTCCAAGCAGTCACCAAATCTGCTTTATACTGTTGCGTAAAGAGCTTGCGTCGGCTCCCACTCTTCGTTCTGTGCCTAAAAATGTTTTTTGCTTTTGTTTATAAGGCAAACTTTGATTGTTCACGTTTTGCTTTACTCCTAGATTGTTCAAAAGAAACAAAAACAGCCCTCTGGGGCAGAGATCCAAGCAGCCACGTTAGTGTTCACAGTTCACTGCTAAATGCTTGCTTTTAATTAACTGTTTTTCAGTCTGGAAAAAGTCTCTGAAAGAAAAATGGCACGTCAAGCCAGCGTACGTGGTCGGCCAAGCCACCGCCTGCCTTGGTGAGTGTGAGAAGAAATCCCAGAGGAGGCCGTGGCCTGCGGCTTCGTGAGGAAGCCACGACGCAGTCCAGCTTCCATGGTGTTCAGAAGGCAGGGGCTACCAGGACAGCTGAAGGAGGCTCCTGCCAGCTTAAGTCAAGTTTAGCAGGCCCCTGAACCGCTGGGGCTGGCAGACCTCGCGTGTGGCCCTGCCATGCTCACGAGGACCCCCACAAGTGCCCAGTAGTGGAAGGAGCACCAGTTATGCCATCAGAGGGTATGGCTGCCCGTGTTCTATCTGCCCCTTTCTCCCTGCGACCCCAGGTCTCAGGTGAGGAGGCTTGGCCTGAGTGGCCTCTAAGGCCCTGCCAGCTCTACATGTGTGGTGTGTTCCACACTGAATTAGGCTGGTCCTCGGACCTCCATCCGTTCCCAGACATGTACCTGCTGGGCCTTGGAGAACCCCAGCTGAGGAGGAGAGAGTGGGGAGGAGGCACCAAGGAAGGAGGGGAGGCAGGGACCAGGCTCAGACAGCCGGTGCCGAGGGGCCCAGTGGGGGGGTAGAGGAGGCAGCACTCACCAGGGGCTTCACAAATGCCTTCCATTACCTGCCCTTCATCAGTGAGCAGACATGGAGGCGCATCAGCCTCTCCTGAGTCCAGTATGGCCCCAGACCCTGCTGCATCAATGAGCTTCATCACTGGAGAGAGTTTGTGGCTGAAGGAGGGTTTCTGTCTTTTGACTCAGCACGTTTTTAAAGATCTGTAAATTACAAGTTGACAGCGTTTAAATTAAAGTCTCGGTTTCCTGGGTCCGGCTCGGGTGAATCAGAAATTGGGTTTGCCTGGCAGATCTCTGAGAAGGGCCACATTCCTCCCCACCAACAAGAGAGAATCCCTCTGTGCTGCGGCCCCTTGCTATGCTTTTAAAGCGAGTGTTCCTGACACCTTTTATTTTGATGTCACTGTGTCGCACCTCCCCCCCCAGCCCTGTCCCTTCCTCCTCCTAGAACCAAGAAAAATGTGGACGCACCCCCAACCCCACCCCCGAACAGTGTCCTGGCCGGACAGCTTGGCTGTTCCCTGCACTCTGAATGGCTCTCGACTTGCCTGGACTCTGGCTTTCCACTTTGTGAACTTTTCATTGACCCCACTGCGGTCTACTTGCTAGACTGCCGTCCTTCCCAAGGTAGCTCCTGACTTTCCTTAGCCCTGAGATCCAGCCTCCTGTCAGTGTCTGAGCAGAGCCTCCCTGGGGTGGGGCCCTCCATCCTGGGGCCTGGCTCCCTTTCCCTGTGAGGTTCTGATGCAGCCCCAGGGCACTCGCTGAAGCCCCCTCTGCCAGCCCGCCTCAGCATACCTAACAATTAGGCAAAGTTGTCCACTCAGGTGGCCAATTTATAAGGGTATCATAAAGGGGACTTTGATGGGATCGCAGGTTCAGAGGTGGGAAGGGCCCCTGTGGTCTTCTGGTCCAAGCTCCTCATTTGGCAGAACAGAGCCTGAGGCAGAATCTGGGGCTGTCTCCTCTGGCTCCAGACCCAGTGAGTACCCTTCCCCCTTGGCCACCAGGCCCCCAAACTGCTTTGAACAGGCAGATCAGCACATGTGCTTCCTTAGCACCCAAGCAAAGTGCTGTCGAGAACAGAGTCCAGAAATATGTTTTTGGTTGTTTTTCAGTGAGAAAAATTGGCCTGGCTACAGAAGGAGAAAAATGTGGAAATGGTGAGAAACTCGCTGAGTACATTTGTTCACGTAAGTAGGAAGAAACATCTGAAGAAGAGTGTTTCCACTTTGCGCCGTGGTTGAGCGTCACAGAATCGTTTAAAGAGTGTTTTCCTTAGTCAGTGCTTTCTTTGAGGCTGTATTTGTCCATCGATGGCACATAAGCTGTGTTGAGGCTACTCCACACGAGGTTATTTCTATTTACCTACTGAGTATTTGGCTCAGCCCCACAGCTCCTTCCAGAAAGATTCAGGATTGCTTGTGAGCAGAGGGTCTCCTCGAGTCAGGGCTGAAAAGAAAAGAGCAGACAAAAGAGATTCTCCCCAGCCCCCTGACCCATGAGCTCTGTGTGGCTCCCGATGTCACCCCTCGGTGGTGTCTTCAGGGCCTTTTCTTGGCCCATCCTGCTTGAGAACACTGTCGGTCACCCTCTTCCCCTGCATTCCTGCGGCCACTCTTCCTCTTGCTCTTCCTCAGGGTTATGCATGCTGACCTCAGTGTCCCCCAGGCTCTGTCCTGGGCCCTCTGTTCTCCTCCCGTCCTGCTCCTGACTCCCAGCCCCATAGCACTCAGCTGTTGGGTGCTTCACACTCTGGAAGCCCAAAACCAAACTCGCCGCCCCTTCCCCCAGCCCTCCCCTCTCTTCCTGCAGAGGCTCGGCTTGCAGGCTGGCCTGGGGGTCATCCTTGTCTCTTGAGCCTCCCTCCTTCAGCCCTTCTGTCCAGTCTGTCGATGCACTTGTCATTTCTCCGAAGGAGCTTGGGCCTGCTCACTCACCTGCAGCACCCACTCCTGCAGCATCGAATGCAGAATCCTCTTTGGCTTTTAAAGCCCTTCCTGCCCTGCCCCTTCGTGCCCCTCCAGACCATTGTCCCCTTTGGGACTATGTGGGCCAGCCACATCTATCTCCTGTCTCTGGGCCTCTGCCTTGCTCTCCCAAGACCTCTGCTGCTCCTCCTTCTCCCTTATAGTTCCTCTCGTCTCCCCCAGGGCCTTCCTCTTGTAGCTAAGAACAGCTCTAAAGCAGTGGCAGGCTTCCCAGGGCTTTACAAAGTGGGCTGTCCCAAAAGTCTTCCTGCCCTTTGAAGGGATTAAGGCTGAAAATGCAAGGAGACTTTGATCCTCCCAGCAGCCCTGGGAGGGAGGTGCTTTTATTATCCCCATTTTACAGATGAAGAAGCTAAGGCAAGAGTTTCAGTGACTTGCCCAGGGCCCATAGCTAGGAAGCACCTGAGGCCGCATTTGAACTCTGCTCTTCTGTCTCCAGGCCTGGCACTCCTCGCACTGTGGCACCTGCTGGAGAGAGTGTGTGGTTGTTTGCATACTCCCTTTCCCACTGGACTAGGAGCTCCTTGAAACATGTGTTTGCCTTTCTTGGTATCCCCAGCGCCCAGCATGCTGCCTGGCACATAGTGGGCACTTCATAAATGCTGACACCTGATTGGGAAGTGTTCCTGTCTTGTGCCTCACTCATCTCTTTTGGTGCCTCTGCCGGGGGGTAGAGCAGGGATCATCTGTTGTCTGTCCGACGAGACGTGGGGCAGCTGGCTTGGTGACCTGTATGATCCTCTGGGCCTCTTTTCCTCATTTGCCAATGAGGGGGTTGGACTGGATGAGTCTGTCGGTCAGTAAGCCTTTCGTCAGCCCCTGCTGGGTGCCGGGCACTGCTGGTGACCTCCGAGGTCCGTGGATTGGGCCTGGCAGCCCCTCCCTCTAAGGCGCTCAGAACGGCCTTGGCAGTGGGCAGCTGTGTCTTCTTATGCCCCAGGAGCAGCCCCACTAATCCCAGCCCACCTGGCAGGCAGCACTACTTGAGACCCTCAGGTCTCAAAGAGCACCTGCTGGGGGGGGGGCTTCCTGCTCCAGGAGCTAGAAGCCAGCCCTGCCCCCCCACTGACCACATGATGGAGCCTCCAAGTATTGGAGAAAGGCCTCCTGCTGCCTCGAGGTAAAGTACCTCTCCATAGCTGTGGGATGATAGTTCTCAGGGCCTTTCCCATGTGGGTGTTTCTTGTGGGGCCCTCCCCCCACCTCAAGTCATGCCCTCTGCCCAGCAGGGGCTCAATAAAGTCTTGTTGACCAGCGTTCCAGAACCCCAGGGGCTAACACTTCACAGCTAGCTGACCAGCCAGGCCTCCAGGGCCACCCAGGTGGGTGTTTAATTAGGAAGCACCGGCTGGGGTCCGAGCCCTGCACTGGACCCTGCAAGTGCCGAGCCAGGCCTGGGTCCTGCCCCTTCCTGGAGACAGAGGTGACAGGGGTGGTCGGTGCATGGGACGAGAGTGAGGACAGTGCTGTGGGAGGCTCAAGGTCGTTGCCGTGGGGAACGCTCGAAAAGCTAGGAGAATGCTTCCTTGATGAGAACATAGAAGGGTGTTCTCCTTTGGAGGGAGGAACTCCTTGTCACATGAGGGGCCTAGACCTCGAGGTGGTCCCCCATCCAGTGGCACAGAGGGCAGCCTCCCCACAGCTCATCCTGGGGCTTCTGGCCGGGTCTTTCCAGAGAGGAGCTAACTGACTTGGCTGAACTCACCAAGTGTGATTGAGCCCAGCCGGGCCCAGTGCCGGGCCAGCTCTCAGGGCCTCCCACGTCCTGCGTGCTCCCAGGACACCAGCTGCCACAGCCCTGTGCCTCACCGCCTGACCTCCCTCCTTGTCCAGCCCTGACCAAAGGTTGCCAGAGCCTCAGTGCCTGTCTTCTCAGGGGCAGAAACATCCATGAGTAGCACTTAGATTCCGTGGGCCCCATGGGCTCCGATGACCTGGATCTGGACAAGAGCTCACTGTGGTCCAGGCCCCCCGGCCAGGCTTTGAAGGGTGACCCTCTGACTCCTGGATTCTTCACAGGATGACGCCTCCTTGACGCACAGTACGGCACACTTCCTCCTCACCTGTCCCGTCTCTTCTGAGTACAGTGCATCCACGCTGAGCTGTAGCCAGTCATGGGTTTCATCCCACTGTGACCCGGGCATCCTGTGAGGGTGGATTGCCCCTTTGTCTTAGCACCTCTTGTCCCTCCTGCCTTTGGGGCAGGCATGTCTGGAAGTGTCTGACCTTTGAACATAGGAATATTTGTGATTCTTCATTTGAGGAGTTCTCTGTCTCACTGGCTTGTGACTGCATGTGTGTATGCACGTATGTATACACATGCAGGAGCATACATGTGTGTATATATATATTTGCGTGTGTGTGTGTGTATCTAGATATAGATGTGACTGCAAGCTCCCGGAGGGCAAGTACCATCCTTTGCCTCTTTCTGTATCCCCAGCACTCAGAACAGTGCGTGGCACATAGCAGGCACTTAATCAGTGTTTATTGAGGGCATGAGTGAACACACACACATATATGCACTTTCTTCCTCCTCCATCTCTTTTTGTTTAAAATCCTTCTGATGAGAGATTTACAAGGCCCCTGGCAAATTATTCTGGCCAGCCTTTGTGAGGTGCACACCCTCTCTCTCCAGGCACCCATCATCCCTGCATTTTAGCTTGTGGTCCAGAGGCTAGACCCCCCCTTCTCAGACACCACCTTCTTAGCCAGCTTCCACTTCCCACGTGAGTTTGTCTCTTTTGGCCCCCTTGCTTTCAATAGACAGTGCCGAAGAAAATACACCTTTGTGCCCCTATGGTCTGAAGGCTCATTTGGGCCCACACAATGACCAGAGATGAGTTGTTGATAAGTATTCCTCTGCTGTATCTCGCACACAAGCCCCAGGATGTCCTCCGTCTCTTTTCTGGGGTTCAGGTTACCATGCGGCTGCCTCGCTACCTCCTGGAAGGCCATGACCAACCATGGCTACTCTCCTGTCCTTCTGACCCTTCCAGGGCAGTCTCAGACTGGGTTACATGCTTCTGTCTGTCCTGAGGAGGTCAGCGCCCTGCTCTCTCCCCTTCAGGGAGAGCCTCAGATCAGTTTTGAGCAGCCCTCCTTCTTCCCTTTCTTCCCCTGGGTAATCTTCCCCTCTCACCGTCCTGACTCTGATCCTTCTTGTTTCTCAATGAAGCCTTGCTCCAGTGTCCTGCAGGACGCCCCTGCCCCGTCCCTACCAGCCTGAAGTATGGAGAGATGTTCCTCCATTCCCTTCACCCTCACCAGGAGGAAAATCATGTCAAGACATGTCTCATCAACAAGCATTTATTAAGCTCCTGCTGTGTGCCAGGCACCGTGCTAAGCACTCAGTATCATAAGAAAGGGAAAGAGTCTCTGCCCGCAGTGAGGGGAACAGCATGTGAGCAATTGTGTACAAGCAAGCTCCGTCCAGGAAACGTCGGTGATGATCAGTGAAGGGAAGGCACTATGATTAAGGGGGATTAGGAGAGTCTTCCTGCGGGGAGGAGGGTTCTAACTGGGGATGAGGTGGCAGAGCGTTGCGCCTAAGGGGAATGACTGTGACGATGCCCATGGAGAGGTGAAGGGAGGCCAGTGCCGCTGGACCTTGGAGTTTGTGGAGGGAAGGAAGGTCTTCAGTCAGCCAACCAGGATTATTCGGTTTTGACTCTGTGCCTAGGCACTGTGCCATGGAGGGGATGCCCCTCGGAACAAAACCACACAGTTATCTCAGTGCTCTGCTAGGTCGTCCTTGGGCAGAGGGATTGGCCTTGGCGTGCGCGGCCCTAGAGGCCATGCTAGCAATAGGGGGACAAAGCACAGCTTCCCAGTGAAGCTGAGCTGCCCCCAGCGTGCAGGGTACTTCCAGAGGCGGTGAGTTTTCTGTCGCCGGGGATCTTGGAAGTCTTGGCTGGATGGCCACTTGAAGGGCTTTCTCCATTGGCTAAGGGTGCCCTGCTCCCCGTGCCCCTGCCTATGCTCCTACATGCAGATGTGTGACTGGGCACAGACAATAAACAGATAAGTTACATGTCTTCCCAGATGAGACTGGCCTTGCAGCAGCCCAAGGAATCCCCCTCCCCCAGCCTCCAGTGCTTTGCCAAGAGAGTTCCCGGCCCCTCTGTGCTCGAGGTCTGTGATCTGGTGATTGCCTGAAGCTCCCCCCTCCTCTGGCTTCCAGACGTGGTCAGAGCCATATGGAC